ACAAATAACTCGCGATACATGTCATTTTTTAAGGTAATTTTTTTAGCAAATAACATTCAGACGTCAAAATGAGTTGCATGGCAATCACACTTTTAACTAATCTAACAGAATTGTATTGGAGCAATTGATGTAACCCGCGTGGATGCACAAGAATCCAATACTGAGAAGATCGCACACATTGGATGGTGTGAATCGCCCACACAAAATTGTGATGGTCGTTTGTGCTTCAACGCGTACTTTACTTTTGTGATGGTTGGTTGGGAAGTCAATGCACACGATATTCATATTTTTACTTTTGCGAAAAGAAAACAAAGACATGGCTTCTCGCTCCCGCCTTCAAGTTCGTAAACATATCAACCACATTCGATTTTTTTAATTTATTATTAATTACGGTATTTGGACAGGTAAATATTACTTGGTCAATGTTGGATATCATTTACTGAGGGGGTATCTGAAGTCATATCCAGATATGAAGTATCACATTCCTGATTGATCTAGCGGTGTTGCTTGTTGTAAGAAATAAATATTTAACAAAAGGCACTCCTCCTTATGCGACGTAATTGAAAGAACGTTTGGAGTGTAGAAGAAGAAATGGATCATATTACGTGATATGTCGACACAACCATTTCTAAAATAAATGCAGATTGTAGTGGTCACGATAACGCTCCACAACTACATTCGACAGCGTCATTCTAGGTCGGATGTAAACTTCACCATGGCTGACGATGATCACATGCAGGTCCTGCCGGAAGCATTTGATGTTCACGTCGGACAATTTATACCACAACCAGAAGTGGAATCACATGAATCTTACACCCAGAATGATGAAGGTGCTGCGAAAATGGTTAAATTGAGAGGGCTATAACGGTCGTCATTGTTCAATGTTGGTTGAACGTCTCTTATTTATCTTATAAACTCTATGCTTATTTTATGTCACTTGTATTATGGATATTTTCAGTTTACAATTTTCACTTGGTGATATTGTTTCTTTTCCATTTGAGTTTATTTATTTTTTTTTGGCTTGTGAGGCCCATGATGAGACTTTTAACCTTGTGAGTTCTTCTGGATGGACTATTGGTCTTTGTTGGTTAGTGTTACATATAAAATACTAGTAAAAGAAACCAAGTTTCTCTCTTCTTTTCGGTGCATCGATTTATGGGGTTCTTTAGAATGATTTTTTTTTGTAATATGCACATGTGACACACAGAATGTTGGTTTTACATGGGTTAAAGGCGACCAAGAACTCATTTTTTTACAAGATCTAGTTTCTTCTTGTAGTGATAGATTCTTTAGTTAGTGCAGTGAGTTATCTGAGCTCTAACGCCTACTTATTTTCTTTATCAATTTATGCTTGTTTATTCAATACTGTTTCCATTTTTTTGTATTTTTTTTTTAATTTCATCTTCTGTTATGACTAATGGGTTCTCTCTTGAATCTTTAAAGGAAGATGAGCTCCATGATTTCATGAACCGCCCGATGAGTGTTCTGCCACTGTGGACTACAAACTTCACTACATACGTCACGTCGGGCACATAGCTAAGGGAGAAAGTTCTACAAATGCTCGAGGTGGGCAGACAGTTCAGAGAAATGTTACTTCTTCCGGTGAGCAGACGGTCCAACATATTTCGTTGTCGGGTTGGATGGTATCCTTGGAGGACGACGAAGTTCGTGACATACGTCGTTTGGATTTTAAAATTAATATTATCATATTTTTAATTGTAATTTTAATATTTTTTTCCTTTTTTTAGTACACTTGATATTGTTATGTGGGGTGTGTATCTTATTTTTTTTAATATTTTGAAATGATTTTTTGCTTCTCCAGTATCAAATGTATCGCTAAGACAGTTCTGTTGCAAACAGCACTACTGCATAAGGGGCAGAATGGTCATTTATCCAAAAACAACGACAAATCAGCTGTTTCCAAAGGCACAAACCAAACAACCAGTCAGCTTATTCGGATCAGCTGTTGATCAGCAGATTATTGATAAGTTGCAACTGCCCCAAATAGACCTTTAATAAAGGAGTAGTCAACTTATGTGTTTCCTTCGATCTCATCATAGTCATCATATCCTCTCATTTCTTCCTCATAAAGAAAATATTTTCATAACACCATTGCTTTTTTTTCAAGTTCAATCAAGCTCCTTCGCCATTTCGATTATGCTACAAGATTCAATTATTTATGAACATTGATTTTGGTTTGGGTTGTCACGTTTGAAAATAGATTACATTATTAAGTTCATGATTGTGTGCCAAATTTTATGGAATTAATAGTTAATATAAGATTATTTGATAATCGCTTTATGATCGACTAAGATTCATCTACTGTCTACATTTGTTGGTTGAATGCATGATACCAGTGTAAAATTTTTATGATTATTTAAAGCTTTCTAATTGCTCCTCATTTGTTGTTTTTCATTGGATCTCAATAAAATTTCTCATTAAACATGAAGGAATTATGATTGCTCATATGAACAAAGAACTATAATCCTCTCAAGAGTTTGTAGAAGGGAAATTCTTGAGAGGATTATCCAATTTACTAATACAAACAAGTGGTAAAAAAACACAACAAAAACACATTTTGACTTATGTACACTAAGCAAGGAATTGGAGTTTTATCTCATTAATTTCATACAGAAAATAAAAGAGTGGAAACAAAAAAAAAAAAAAAAAAAACTTTATGATATCAGAACTCATAGGAAAAACAGTGGAAACACACACAAAGCAACATGTATTAATAGAGAAAAAAAGTTACAACACATCACAAACTGAAAATAAAATCACCAACACATAAAACGGCACAAAAAACACCTCGAAAGTACATCCCAAGGGAGGTGGAGGTTGGCTAGGTTGATTGGGATAGCTAGCGGGGGGTGGCGACAGCAAAGGTGAAGTGAGAAATTGTAAAAACAGCCAGAGGGCTGGCTGTCTAGTGAAGTGACGGCAAGAAATTGGGGCAGAAATGGCGGGAATAGCAAAGGTTTGTTGTCCCGAGGTAACGACAGCAGGGGTAGAGTGTTGGGCGGCGGGTTTGGCTTGCGGGGTTGGATAGCAGACTTGGAGAAACTGGACAGCAAATCGACAGGCTAGAAAGTGGATTGGCACGATTGGGGAAGGATCGGAGTGGCAGAGACTAAGGGAAAGGCAGGAAAGGCCTAGGGGAAGGTAAAGAGAGTATACAATCACCACCTCGGAGTAGGATATAGCCGAAGTACCACCACTTTCTTGGATACAACCCACAAAGAGGAAAAAGACTCCACAGAGGATTTTTCAAAGTAAACACAGCAAAAAACCCCTCTCAACTTTGAAAACAGTAAATAAATAGAGTTTTACATGAAGAAGAAAGGAAAGAGATAAAGAAGAAAACTCTCACACAAAAGAAAGAAGTGGGGAGGCCAGAAATATTCAGAAAATAGCCATAAAATTACTTCAAAATAAAGCAGCAGTCCCGCCCCGTTAAATTATCGCCCCCAGGTCGCTCGGCCTGAGTTTGCCCTCGATCGGCCCCAATTGGGTCGGCCAGTTTAGTAGCGGGAGACTTCGTGTGTCCCGCAACAGTGCAGGAAGCCCCGCGTCACTTTAATTTCCACAAGTACTATTTTCATAGAACCAATCTAACTGTTGCTCTTACATAATAGTTGAAATGTTTTGGAAGAAATCAATTGAAAAAGTTAAATAGATGAATCAAATTGATTCAAGCTCAAACCACCCAAGCCTTGAACATGAGCCTACTAATTAATCGTATTTGAGCACGGGCTTCAATTAAATTCTATAAGTTTGACTCGGCTCGTGAATGGGCTCATTATGAAAGTAAAGATTACCAAATTTTACGTAATTGTAATAAAATAGTACAAATAATGAGAATTACAACATACAAGAAGAAATCAATTGAGATTAGAAAAAGAGAGAACTTCTAAATATATTTTATAGCTTTATAAATAAACCCTTGAATTGAAACTGAGCTTAAATAATTATACATAATTTTGTTCCCAACCAAACACCTAGATTATAAATTTTCTAGTTATGTAACAAAATTGAAAAGAGCAGGCATGGAGCAGCAACATTATGTGCAAATTAGTCGGCCAATTAGTAGAAACACTATTTGAAGGAAAAAAATCTGCAGCAAACATGTAACCATTCATGCATATTAAGTATGATGACAGCAATTAAGCTGAAAGAACTCGCTACTTCTCGGAGAAAAAAACATGTGATCATTGGGATGTATAATCCTCCATCTATATCAAAGACTTGATAAATCCTAAGCAGATCTTTCCTGATCACTGAAACATTGCTTCACAGGAGAACAATCATCCAAATAGGCTTTCTAAATTACATTATTAGCTTTAAAAAAAAATGGAAAGTAAGCCTATATTGCAACTCACACAAAGTACATATGTTGGGTCTAACTGTTATTAATGATCATTAACTTTAAAAGATGAAAGACTTCAGCTACATGAATAGAGAAGTGAGCAATCCGATCATGAGCATATTCAAATCTGGCTAAAGATTGTCTCAAAGCCATAAAATTTGATCCTAAGTGAAGCCTACCTCTACTTTAGCTTGAACCAATCATTAGATAAGCAAGCCTGCTTCAGTAATCTTAATCCAAAAATAATCACAGATAGAAAGCAAACTAAATTCAGTTATTTTTCAATTTTCTAAGGCAAATCACTTGCCAACAAAGACAGATGCGTGCACATGCATCCATATATAACTATAGAAAAGCAGAGATGGGTTTCAGCTCAATTCAAATATGCCTGGATCAAGACATGGCCCAATGACTTAGGTCTGCACTCAAAGTGAACCAAAATTCAATCCGATTTTTAAGAGATAATCTTCCTATCAAGTTATAAAATAAAAGAAACTCCTAACAAGTAGAAAAGAGGGGGCAAAGAGCATAAATCAATAGTTTGCCAAAACTGATAAATCTTAGAACCAATGGTTTATATTACACATCATGTCTTTGTTATAGGAAAATAAAAAAAATGAAAGAGGGATGATACCAGTTGGGCATAATAGGATTGTCCGGTCCTCGAAATATGATACCACAGTTTCTAGTATGATACATGGAGCAGAAAAAATCTGTGTAGTCTCCAATTACAACTGGTAGAAGCATCTCCACCTCATTCTGTTTTGTCAAAAAATTTAGTTAATCCATATAAAGAAGCACTATAAACAGATCACTGCATGATCACTAACGCTTGGTAGGAGGGATTTCTTCCTCAAACTTATATTGTCACGTAGGGTTGGCTCATCATCTGTAGTCACAGAAATAAAGTTAGTTGCATCAACCTTGAATCCAATCCATTGCATTTAAGAACTAAATCTGCTCAATTAAAAATGTTAGAGCACCTCTAAAACAAAGAAGAATTTAACCAAACTTAAATGAAGGTTATTTGAGCATTAGTGCATGGTGCTAACAGCTTTTTGAGGTTTAGTTTACCTCACGCTTTGGCCCACAGTTTCTCAACAATTTTAGGTCAACTGTGTTTCAACAGATTGCTTATAGGTCCTGAAGATGGTTGTCAACATCAACTGGGTCTACACATAATATTGTTAAACAAATTACAGCTAAATGCCAATTGTAAGTGTGGTCTTCTCAAGAGGATGCCACCTCTCTACATTGACTGTGTTGTACTAGAGTGCAAGAGAGAAGGTACATGCAAAAGAAATAATAAGACAAGATAATAAAAATTTCTCATAGCCAACAGATAAGGCTAGCTAAGATTTATTTCTAGATTATTGAGGTTCTCTTACGGGCAAAGGCTCCCATAATTAATTACATCTTGGACTATTTTCCTAAGAAGATTCTTGATTAAGGACTGTAGCTCCACTTCGAACTGATGGTTAGGAATTTAGGATTATGAGTGATCAAAACAATCAATATCTCATGTTTTTATCATCCCAATCAGCCTGGTGAACTAGATTTATTAATGACAGAAAATTAAAGGCCGTATCATCCAGAGAGTTTGATTAAAATCATGGATAACTTCTATCAGATATCCTTAATAGACCACCATAGCAGCATGCTAAAGGACACTCACCCTCTATTCCTATTTCTCTATTTCATTTTTTTTATTTCTTATTTTTCTTAATTTTAAGTAGGGTTTTACTTGAGGGACTATTTGTATCTTGTTATTTTCTTGTTTTTGGAGGACTTTTAAATTGTTTTGTGAGTTTGAAGATTGTAATCTTTAGTTTATACCTATGAAGTGTTGTATCGTATTCCTGTTGTAGATGGTGTCTTTATCTTGCCGGAGAACAGGTGGTAAAAGCTCCTCGCCGCCCAAACATCACCAATTCAGTGTTTTCTTCCCCAATTTCAACCGAGATAGCCATCATTCTATGCCTATCTCCACCCAAACACTGTCAAACCCCATACTTCATTTTCTCGCTACTGCACAACCACCTCCCCACAAAATTCACATCCTGAATACCTTCTACGAGCCCTAAAATGGTATTATAGAGGGAGGATACTTAGCTCAACTACTCGATTGGATGAGAGAACGGAAACTATACAACTATAGGAACATGAAGAGAGAATTTGTAAGTCGATGACTCGACAGAGGGTGGGTAGGCATGCCAAATTTATCGTTGATTTAGCAAACCAAAGGAGACACTATCTTCAGAACAGATGTTAGAATGATCTTTGTAAATCAACCATTGGATTTGAATCGACCTTAGTGTTCGATTTTAACTGAGCTTGTGACATTAGATTTGACCTGATCGTTTGGTTCGATTAGAGTGTTCAAGCAAATGGCAGAGCAATGGAATTTTCTAAGATTAGCGTATGAGAGATGGCGACATCGACGCTCGAAAGGAGCGCACAACCTTCATTCAGGCCCGAAGGACTACTAGAAAGATTGTTGGGAAAGAAAGGATGAACTTGGCAATGATGGGCGGAAAGAGCCTGCGTTTGTTCGAGAAGACGAGCCAAACAAAATGACAAAACGGAATAGAAAGTTTTGTTTGAGCATTCTGAGGTCTGCAATAATTTTCGTTGATGGGAACGACATAATGGAACCTTTTGTTTGAGCAGGAGAGCTACACAACGCATCTATGAGGAGAGGACACCGCAGCCTCGAGCGGAAGAGAGGGACCGCGACCCAAAGATAGGCCTGAGCAGTTTGTCATTGTTGCTCGTGCTTATGTGAGAAACAGAGTCGTCGTTCGAGTTAAGGCTTCTGCTACACGTGCGTACGAGGGAGACAAAGCCGAAACTCTGATAACATGTAGAATTCTGGAAAGAATTTTTTTTCTTGCTCTAATCCAAACAATACAGTTTGCCGCATATGCATAATACTTTAGGCTCTGTTTGGGGGAGTTACTGTTGTTTGAAGGAGCAACTGTAAAATTGATTGAGAAAAAACTATTGTTCAAAAAACTGCAGTGGTTATTACAATTTAAAAAATAAATAAATAAATTGCAGATTTCTAGCAACCATCGCTAGTAGCCAGGTCTGACGGAAAAAAGTTGCTTGTAGCTACAGCTTTTTGAGGATGCACGTAAAACGTAATTTTGTCAAACAAGAAAAACTGTGGTGTGGCACCACACCGCCACCGTACCACTGCCCCAAACACACTGTAAATGAAACAAAATATGAATCCCTCCAAACTAAGAAAAATATAAAAAAAAAAATATCTAATAAAAGAAATATAATCAGTGGAATATACTATGAGAAAAGAAAATAAATTCTTTAATAACATGAATGGACACTTCCCAAGGCTCTCCATCAAGCTGGGTTGTATATATTGTACAAACCAAGCTTAGACTTCAATTCATCAAGATTAACCCTTGGTAGAGCATTGGTAAGAATATTAGCAATCTGAAGTCATGTAGAAACATAGTTGTGTTGAACAATTCCTTTACTAAAAAAAAAACAATTCTAATGTTAACATTATCTGAGATGAAGTATGATCAATTATCGAAAGCAAAATTATATTCATATTGAAAATTGAGAAAATTTGACGATATTAAATGAAAGTTAGGGTTTATTTCCAAAAATAATTTATTTAAACTAATGTTATTTAATATTAGTATTAATTACAATATTAAACTTAAACTTTAAGGATTCAAATATTAATTAAAATGACAAAATTGAACTACAATTAACTAAAACATAATTAAGTAATATGAGAAAAATTTATTAATATCAATATTTTAATATTATAAATGTTCAATTGAAAAAGATATAACATAAGTAATAAAAATATGAAAGGCTCAAGGTGAGTGATTATGTTTCTAAATTATAATAATATTTCTAATTTTAATTTTTCATTTTTATTCTCTATACTATTGAGACTTAGATTATTATTAATTATTCATATTGTTTTGTTTGAAGTATGTATGTTAACATTGTTGCATAAAATTTACATATTAGTTTTCATAGAGAGACATCAGATTATTACATGACATTTAATTTTCAGTAGAGATGCATTTATTTATTGGTAGATAAATAAAAAATATCACATAAGAAAAATAATATATGTTTGAAATAATGGAATAAAAATATTGTATACATGAATGCTTGTAAGCATGCTAAGAGGAGCTCATCCCCATATAATATTGGCTGAGGATGTCAATGTACCCAAGCGCGTAGATATTTTCCTACCACCTCAGACAATTATATTTTTTAGATCGTAAACAATTATGCTAAAGAGAGAATATTGGCTAGGGGTGTGTAGTTACATTTCCGCCTCAAACAAAAATGGACATCTTTTGCGCCCTATTGTGCCGGCGGGGGATTTATATATAGACAGTGCTCATGAGACGAATGTAAAAGTTAAGAAAAAAAAGTATAAAAAAATTAAAAAATTAAACCTTTAAAGTTAAAGCTAAGGTTAATGCATATAGAATTCTAGATCATTTCTTGAGCAAATGTCATGAGTATATTATTTAAATTATTATAAGAATTTTCTATAAGGTTATAAAAAAGATTAGCATATATATTATCCTTTTTTCGTTGGATTATTGTAAATTATAAGTATAATTGCTCCACTGGGTTATCTTAGATAACTCGTTATATTTAAACAAATTTCAAATCTAAGCTTTTGAATAAAAGAAAAGCGCTAGAAGAAAGATTGTGTATAGAAGGTGATGTCAACATGAAGAAAGATACTTCTGTTTATTTGTTAAGTAATTACTTTCTTTGGCGGCTCTTTAAATTTATTTGGATTGTAAATTGTTAGTGATAGAAAATAAACAATAAAAAATTTTAAAAAAATTAATTCAACAGTAATACCATCCGTTCTTGCCTTAGAAATTCCAATCCGTCGGCTAGGTCATCATATTCAATAATTGCATGGCGAATGGTAAAAGATGCACAGTTGAATCCATGAGTAGCTTTAAGTGGTGAGTCCCAAGTTAGCATGAGTTTACTTCACTTCAAAAGATTGCTTAAGAATGAAGTAAAATGGTGTTGATCTTAATGAGCATAAGGTTGAAGCAACCGGACAAATCCTAATGTTGAAATAACAGGATTTAAAACTCAATACGGATGCTCAAATATGGTCAATATCTTTAATGTTAAAGAAGCCTAGAAAAGTATAGGGCTCATGGCCAAATCAGAAGGTGTTATGAGACTTACAGGGTTATAATCTAGAACGCGGCTACAAGATTTATGAGATTAATGCTTACTAATACTTATTGGGTTATGATTCAACCCTGATGATATTTTGATGATGTTTAGATCCTATAGATGTTAGCTCCAACTTCAATCGGGGGTTAAAGGTAATAGATCCAATAATAAAGATGTTTGGCATCTTTCCACAAAATTGGCATCAAAGTTGAAATTTTCATATTTGACCAGTACACAAATTTTAGTGGAAAAAGGAGGTTCATTAAGCGTGGAGAGTTTTTAAATTCATCAAGGAATCTAAATATAGTCTGACAAGATCTACAATTTGTAGTTTATAATAATCCCAAAATATAACCTAAAATTATAAGTTTCAGATCCTCTGTTCAGCAACATTCAGAAATGCTACTTCTGCTAATAGCTTGATCTACTGCAGAGAACAAAGAAGGAAAATAGCATATAGCCAAACTTTACTACAATAGTTTAGTCAAGAAGAGAAGGAAAAAAACAGCAAGGACTGATCTTTGATACAACGCAGCACCTGGAAAGCAACAAATTAGCTGAGCTGAAGTCTAGTTACAATGGAATATTAAAGCCCAGCACTATAGAAAATATCACATATAAAAGGAAACAAGAAACAATCATGTGCGCAAAGTGTGTGAAGCAAAGAACTTTAAATTAGCGGCAATCAACTCCACGCTGCAATACAGGCACCAAACTTCACAATAGAAAAAAAAAATGAAGTTCACAAAGATTTGGATAGTAGAAGGTAAGCAGAGAACCAACAGTCCAAACAACTACAAATAAACAGGTTCAAAAACTGCAAAAAAAAAATTATATTAAATGGAAATTGGAACATGAGCTAAAACAAGTTAGAAAGAATTATATGAGAATTAAATCAAAACAAGTTGTAACAATAAGCCAAATCCACAAAGTAATCAAAACATTAGAGAATGACTTCCATTCTTATAAGCATCATCATCATAGGCATGTTACAAGTAAACTAAAAAAATTAAAAATAAGACAACTAGAACAACATCCAAAATTGAGAATTTCACATTACTAGTCCCAAAACTCACATCTTGCATTTTCAACGAGTATAAATTTCAGATTTCAATCATACAGACCCTTAGTTAAATTGACTGCGGTAAAAGGTTCTATAGATATTTTTGGTTTGATGTGTATAACAACAAGGATGTTAATGAGGCATAGTTGCTTTGATGGTAATATTTTGTTGAATATAAATGTATATTCTGGGTGACGTTTATATGTATAAATTTGCAAGCATAAAAGTCGCCTCAATCAGCCATTATGCTAACAAAATATCTAAACAGGTTGGCAGGTTGTGACATGAAATTCCATATATTTATTTTTAAGTGGAAATTTTTGGATTGGTAAATCATATTCTCTATTAAGTTTGGGTGATTATGCTGAAAGAATATAGCCTCCAAAACTGCTACGTACATCAGGATTATCCAAGACCTTCTGATCAGTGATTGTTAAAAAATGAATTTTGAGAAAAAAACTTCCTCTCAGCATGAACATAACTACAGCAAAAGATGCCAGTACACCAACAAAAAGGAACTGACTCGAAAACATTAAAATTGGTGCAGGCTTATTTTTGTATTTTAATGCATTCTATTTCTAGCTATACCTCGTTCTCAAATTATTAAACTTAGGCTCCATCAAGAATGATAAACACAATATACCAGACAAGAGCTTCTGGATGGTTGCACGTGCCTCCTTCCATGCAGGCCGACCCATCTCCAAGAACAAATTAAGAGAAGGCTGGATTCACGATAAACACAATATATTAGTTATTGAACAAAATTTCAGGTAAGCACTATTAGTATTATCCAATTAACATTGAGTCAATAATAATTAGAACAACATGATGACGCTCTCTACCATTGGGTCATGCTGCAGAGCTTAATCCTCGTCTAATAAGCTCAACATAAGATTAATTATTCAGCAAAGAAGAAACCAATTTGGTGTGCTAGTTTTTTCCCTTCGTTCACTCAACCAATAAAATCCTAACTCAAAACTCAAAGCTAACTTGTATCGAAATTAAGAACCAGTCCTGCAGACATTCATCTTCTGTTCGCTGCTCTAGTTGTTTTCAGAATTCAAATACTTCAAACAATGTTGAGTTAGAAAAGCTTCCTAAGTTTTACTAGATCAATTTCATCTCGCATACCATAACCTTTTCATCTTCTTGCCAGCATTACGTGATAACATTCTACTTAAATATTTCCAGATGGGATATTTGAGAACAAATTCCAACATAAGTGATTTACAGAATGCAAATTAATCAAGCCCTGGACTGAAAAGTGTAAAAGACGTTTTCATCCAATACCTGGTTGAAGCATTGGGACTTCTTGAGCAAGGGCCCGTCGAAGAGTCCCGCGGCGGCAATGGCGGATAGATCGAGAACATAATCACCGATGGCCACTCCCGTAGAAGGATCGCCACCGCCCGCCGTTTTCGGTCGGAAGACGCCGTAAGGCAAGTTTTCCAACGGGAAGTGGGAATCGGCCGAGACCTCCACGAACGACTTGAGACCCATCGCTCTCGATCTTCTGTCTCTCTGTCTACTATCTCCACAGCTTGCTCGGTGGCTATTGAGTTGAGTAGCTTCCTTAGCCGTTTGGGGGCACACCAATGTTTCTAACCTACTTCTTATAATTTATCTTATAATCTATCTTATGTTCCTTCTATGAAAGATAAAGTTATATTATGATGGTTCAATTCAGTGTCAAATGGCTTTGGTTGATTATTCTGTGGGTAAACTCACTTTTTTTTAATAATCTCTTCAAAGTCTTAGTAAGATTTCGAAGCTTAAAAGTATGCTTGAACTTCTCTCGCTTATGGAGGGGTTCTTTCTTTTTAAATTTAACTGTTTGGAAGATCTTGAAATGATATTTTCCGATGCACCTTGGCTTTTTTTATGGTTAACCTTTTACTTTTAAAATGTGAACTTATGATTTTGAACCGATTAAGGAGGTTTTTAAAGACATTCTTGTTTGGGTTCGGTTTCCTATTCTGTCACTATGAAGTTAGTGATCTGAATCAAGAGTTTTTTTAAAATTGCTAGCAAGTTAGGTATCCCTCTTATTGTTGATTCCTTAACGACAAAAGGCTTCAGGTTATCTTCAGCACGTGTTAATATATAAATTAATGTAGATTTTTCATTCCCTGGATTTATATGCTCAAAATTAAAGGAAAGACTTTTCCCAACAAGTTGTTTATGAATAAAAGTCTATTATTTGTAAAGCTTGCTCTTTTTTTTGTCATGATCATGAGCGCTATTTTATGAATGCTCATACTGTTTCGACTAGTGTGGTTCTTATTTTCAAGAACAATAGAAGAAATGTGAGGCAAAATTTTGATAACTTTGTTATACATGTTTATATTCCTATTAATAATGATAATGTGGTTACTAAAGATAATGATGTTAAAAATATTAGTGTTTTGATTTCTAACTCTTTTAATGTTGTGGCACCTAATCTTAATATTTCTGTTGCTCGAAATATTTTAGATTCTAAGGAAGAGGAATATGTTAATCTTCTTGTTAATGAAAGTTTAATTATCTCCGAGCAATTTTCTAATCAATATCAAAATTTTGACATTTCTAATATTTTTATTATTTGAGTACATGAGCATTTACATACGGATATTGTTTTAGTTACATTTGTGTTAAATGCTTCATTGCTTTTTTTTTTTTGAAAGAGCATTATTCGGCTCCTCATTTATTGCACACAAAAATAATTACAAAATGAGGCAAGAGGACCCTTCTAAAAATCCACTAACAACTCACACAAAAAAGAAAATCAAAGGGTCATCTTCCCACAAAAAGAAAAATACAACACAAACACACACACACACACACACACACACACACAACAACAACAACAAAATAGGACAAATAAAGACAAACAAACCCAAAAAAAAACCTAATATATGTCATTTAGAGCTAACTGTAAAAGAGCAGCAAGAACCGTCTTAAAAATCAAAGCAGCATTTAGATTAATATTAAACTTAACCGCCCAGTGAGCAACCATATTACATTCTTGCTTACTATGAGTCCAAATGATAACTAAATGCTTATCCAAATCATCAATCCTCCTCGTTTAAAGATTAACACTCCAACAATGATCAATCTTAAATCTGCAATACTTCCACATAATCAAAAAGTCGGTTTCAATAACAGCAAGCCTCCAACCAAATTTATGAGCCACCTAAAGACCAAAAACCAACGCATCAGCCTCAGTGACAAGGGGGGAAACATGAACGGCAACTGTCGTGAACCAACAAAGAATATAACCCAAGAAGTCCTTACAAACACCTCAGCCTAGCACAATTAGACTTCCACCATCCATCAATATTGATTTTAATGAAAGGTGCACAAGGTTTACACCAAGGCACTCTAGCAAAAACCTTATCTTGTATAGAAATATGTAAGGAAAACTTCTGAGGAAGATCCTTCAAACTACCAGTAAGTTTCTTATTAGAAGTCAGATACTTAAGACTTGTCATCAGATAATTAAGAATCATACTAACAGTACGATAGACATTAGAAACCACATTGTTATATTTAGCATCATTCCTAGTTACCCAAATAAATCAAATAATAACAACAAGAACAACAGTAAAAAAGGCATGGCCTAGGCTTTTCCATTCAGAGAAAATATCAGCAATGTTAAATTGTTGATTCATATTCCTCTTCAATTGATGTTTCAAAGGCACCTAAATCCAAATATCAAGAACAAAGTGGCAGCTTCCAAAAAGATGAATAATTGTCTCTTCATGATCCCTACACAACACACAACAAGAAGGAAGTCACAAACCTTTCAATTTAAAAATATCTTCGGTAGGGATGATATTATGGAAGACCCTCCAAACAAAGAAGCCAATGGAAGGTTTGACCCAAGAATTCCAATTCCATCGAAGGTCCATCTTCTGAAAACATTGGAAAGAATTAGCAAAGCTTTTATAACAAGAATCCCCCATGTTTCCTTTAACCTTAGGCAAATCAATTTTATCACAATTAATAGGAATCAAATATATGCATTTAGCATCAGCATAATGGAACATATGAGCAAGATCTCATTCACGCCATCGATTCTCATACTAAAGATCCTTAAGTTTAATATCAATAGCAAAGGGAATACCATAAAGGTCCACTAAAGCACCATTACACGTCCAATCATCAAACCAAAATGAGCAATCCACTTACCAATGTCCCAACAAATCAAGTCTTCAATATGTCTAGCAACCTTTAACATTTCATGACAAATGAAAGAATTAGTTTTATTATGAGTAATAGTTAGAGGTGCTTATTGTAGCAGTATTTGATATGCATTTAGGAAGCCCAAATAGAACTATTCTTCCTAAATATGTACCATAATTTCATGAAGTTTATCTTAATAGAATCAAATAGGCTTCTAAAACCAAGTCCTCCCTTCTCAACAGGTTTATGAAGTTTATGCCAACTTTTCCAATGAATATTGGATTTACCTTTACCATCCCATAGAAATTTATTGAAAAGATTTTCAAGCCTTGTAATAAAACCCAACGATATATTCATAACTTGCAAAGAGTAAAGAGGGAGAGAAGTAAGAACACTCTTAAGAAGTGTGATACGCACTCCATAAGAAAGAAATTTATTTTCCCAAGATAAAGTTTTATTCTTGATTTTATCAAATAAACTCAAACAAAGAGCACTACCATTTTTGCCTTTATCCAAATTAAAACCCAAATAAGTCAGAGGTAACACAGCCTTGTTGCAACCAGTAAAATCCATAATCCAATTCTTCTTAGAAGCAATGACTCTCTTAGAACAATAAAAGAAGCATTTGGATGTGTTAAAGAGCAACCCAAAAGTATTCTAAGACTTTATAATCTCCTCCCAAAACTTTTTAATAGAACGTTTATTGGCATTAGTTAAGATTATCAGATCATCAACAAAACATAAGTGAGAAATACTTATCATGCCTTTATGATCATAATTCACACTAGGATAAGTAGTAAACAAACCATTTAAGCATTGATCCCCAATAATTATAGTTGTGCAAAATTTATAAAGTTGACTTCGCTTTGCAACAACGTCAAAAACTTGATGCGTTATTTTATGAATAAGAAATTTAAGCAATTTATGTTAAGATTCTACGCAAGTATACATATTGTTATTAAGTAATACAAGACTTTCTATTTAAGCCCCAAATATCTATCCCACGAGGAAGATTTAAAGGAAGATTTATCCCACGAGGAAGATTTAAATTTGAAATGATAAATTAACTAGAAAACTCACAACAATAATATAAAAATATTGTCACTAATTTCAAATATTTAAGGTACTATCAGACTAAGTTATTAACTACTAGCAAAACTGTAATGCAAAGTTAAACAGTAACTACCAAACTATATTTATGTGATGAAGTTATCTAATATGAAAAAACACTTTCTCACTACAATGAGTTTTTGGTTAAATGAGATGAGATAAATGATTTAAATCTGTATTGTGCCAAATAGGAACAATTTTAATTCTCTACCCTTATTCAGTGTTGTAGAGAATCATTGGCTAATCTCAGGTTTAGTCCCTAAATTCATAGTTAGGCTGGGAGAATACTGGCTCTCACTCTAGAGCTCTCACTTCCCTTCCCCTAAAGGTTAACACTCACTTTAGTTTTTAAACACTAAGTCTAAATTGGGGATTTTAGTCTGTCACCCTAAAATCTCCAATTCTACGCTTAACAATGTATATTTACTTATTTATTTGTACTTAATTCCATGAACGAAACACTCCTCCATGGAATTAAATATGATTCTCACTCTGTTGTGGAACTCATATTCCATTTCCCGGATCATATGTTTCACAACAGATTTTAACATTTTAATTGACCATATCAAAAAGTAAATTAAGAACGAAGTGGAAAAACCATCATAATTTATTTTATATTTTAAAATTGGCACATCCAAATTATATCTTCATTTCACCATATCTCAGAGTAGGGAGAAAGACAAAGAAAACTACTCAGACCTCAAGAGAAAGATACGACAAAATATGAATTTCATAAATAAAAGAAAGTTTTTGCAACAATAATAAATAAACACCACTTATATTTAACTATTCCTCAAAGAAAATCCCTTATAGCTCCTCTTGGACTCTTTCTCTCTTTACAATACTCTTAACTCTCTCTTTGAAGATTTAGGGAAGAAGAAATCTCTCACTTCTCTCCCTCTCCAACAAGGGGGGGGGGGGGGGGGGGGGGGGGGGGGGGGGGGGGGGGGGGGGGGGGGGGGGGGGGGGGGGGGGGGGGCTCTTTTTGATCAATTTTCGATCTAAATTGAGCCTAATGTCAGTTTTTTAAGAGGTACATCGAAAAAATCTTCAAAAAGCGTCCAAATTCATCGAATCTTCTAGAAACAGGCCTTGCACCGACATTGGCACCGTTGGCGTCAGTGACCCTTTAATTAATTCCGTACTTTCTGTCAAATGACGTCGTCAGTGCCCAGTCTGGCACTGTCGGCGCTAAACATTTCTTCTAAAACTCCATTTTGTCTCCAAATTTCATCCATTTTGTTTTCTTTTTGCTTCAAGTGCTAAAAATCAACAATCTGCAATAAAACATGAAAAATACATTCCTTGAAAGAGTTATATCTCCAAA